CAAGCCTGAATCCTAATACTCAAGATACTACTGCGAACTTAACTCAAAAGGAATTTAGTCAGCTGTTTGATTGGTCCCATACAGGGAAGGACAAAAAGAGACCTTTACTAGACTTATTGTATAAGTATAAACATGTATTTGCTATTGCAAATAATTATGACGTGGGATACTGCCAAGTGATAGAACATGAGATAAATACGAGAGATGCTTCACCTATATATCAACCGCCTTATCGGATACCATACACTCAGCGAGAACAAATGAATCAGGCATTTTTGAACTTTACTCAACGATACTTTACAGATTGCAGAAGCAAATCAACAATAAATCCATTCTCTAATTAAGAAACAGACCCTTATAGAATAAACTTTAGCACAACATCAATACAACCTTGCCTTTGAATCAGTGACCTGATCTACAAAATTCTCTATCTGAGAGTTTCAAACTCAAATAATCAAAATCCAAAACGCCATTGAAACCTTAGAGCAGGGTCAATTGAGCACCTATTTCCTTCCAAACATGTTTTGCTAAACACCCTTAAGGAAATACAACTACATTTACCAGAAGGATATGCTTTCTTAGAAATGCCGTGAATAGAAACTATAAGTATTATCAGTTGTATAATTTATATATAATATATGTATAAGTATTATGCAGTAACAGGACTTTCTGTTACTGCAGTAGCATTATCACAACTACTTCACATGTTTTTGCTAAAATTCCCCATCACTCCTACTGGATATTTTGACATCTATGAAATTATACAATTACCTGTATACTATCCCATCATAAAGGCACTTGTCTATTACAATAATTCATATCCCATTATCACCTTGTCCAGAAACCAACAATCTTATGTTATTACAACATTATGATTTGACTAAATGTCATACAACACCTATTGATGTATGTTCACCTAATGTTCCTTATGGCAATCAATCATATAGGAACCATATAATCACCTCGTCTCAGATGACATCCAACTATAGAGTTAGCCGAAATTGCACAAGATATTTCCCACCAATCTGCAGATTTTTATGTAACAACTTTGAACCTTTGACTTAAATATCTTTAAGTATTTCATAGTAGTAACTGCATTTACAACCAAGAACAAATGTTCTTGGTTGTTAATTAATATATATTCTCATTCAATGCATCTGAATCCAACTATCTTCTTTACAGACATACCTGGATTCTTCTTTAATTAATTAATGGCTTCTCCAACCAATTCTTCCAATCCTGCATTGGTGGGCACTCTTAAGTTGCCCAATCTTTTATAATTTGGTTCACTCATTTATCAGTGTTCAAATGGACATCTCGTCTGTCTACAAGCAGATCACAACATGCCATACCTGTCGAGAGACACTGTTACATACGTTGTTTAGTAGCTGAGCAGATAGCATTGACTTTGAGGGCCCCATGATCAACCATTAGATGTCCAGAAATCCTTCATAATGAAAACTGAAAGAAACATGAAAGGAATTGCCCTTTCAGACCCATTATCTACCCGTTCAGCAGAAACGAATGCCATGAGAAAGAAAGGCCTCTAGTCTCAGTTCTCACTTCACTAAGCACATCCCTAGGTCCCGATTTTATTCTTAGGCGTCGACTCCCAAATCAATGCTCCAGGGTGACCATCTTAAACTGTTAAAGCTGCCAATTTCTAATTACTGTCCAAAAACAAATCATCATCTAGCTCAGTTACACCTTAAAAGTCCAACTTTTATCCCAGGTCAACTCAGCTTTAAAATTTAACTATACTATCAACTTTTGCAAAAGTGGACATACTCTTTGATGGACATCTACATACTTTGCTGAACATGAGGCCCAATTCCTTCTCTAACATAACTATTCCCTTTTTCAAGCTTCTTGAACCAATGATCCAATCTTTTTGTGATGGTAATAACTTTAAATTCACTCTTTCCATTGCTAATAACTCTCTGCAGATGGCCAATCTGGAGTTTGAATGGTGGGAGAGACACACTCCCCTCCATGCATGGACAGACAAGAGGTCAATATGGCATCATTAAGAGCAGCAATAACCTTTGCTCGAGCACAACAACTGAACCACAATATGCCTGCCACAATGATTTTACCTATCAGATATAATTGTCCACCCTCTGAAGAAGCCACCTTTCAAGAAGAGATTCATCTCACTCAAGCCTACACTGAACAGTGGAACAGCAACTCTTTGGCTTCTTGTAATCATCGACCTCCTTTGAGGCAAACCTCAATTTCTTGGATCCGACATTCTCCTCCACGAAGATCCAATCCATGATTGGATCCAGTTGACCATTGACACCTCGCTTCTAAACAGATATAAGCATAACCATATCATATATTATACAATCATTATATTCCTATATTATCCTTATAATCCTTTATAAAATTTTAATTTGTATATGTTAGTTATCTTATCCCAATAAATACCAATTATTTGATTATTCCAACATACTGTTGTTTCCTTTATTATCGCACACCAACAAGTATTTACAGAAATGAGAGAGAGAATACAAAATCAATTGTTAATTTCCTATCCGTGTTTGAATTGCTAACAACTTCCTCCACAGAAAATATTTAATACAGCTCTAACATGACGTGATAAGCTATGACTGTTACATAATATTTAATTTAACTATTATAAAGAGAGAAAGTAAATCAACCCTTTATAATGACCTTAATTGTAACTCTAATAAAAATCCAGCTTGCCCAAAAAGAACCAGCTTGATTTTGGAAAGGCCGGGGCAATGTGAGAGCCTGGATTTAGTAAAATTTTTATCTATAAACTTTCACTCTCGTTTTTAAAATAAAACAAAATAATGCTTAAACACTTAAACTCTTAAATAAGAAGAAATTCTATTTTTTTACCCAACACTTAATAAAAAACTGGAAGGATATGATCATATCCTTCTCCGGATTCACTTTCTTTCAAAGGTGACATCTTCCTAATAGGTCACTCAGAACCAACGACTGAAATTCAACTATTGGCCCGATGTATAATAATTCCTAATAAGGTCATGGGAAAAACCCATGAACCCTAATAAAAAGGAGGGATCAATGACAATTGAGGTTCACCATCATTGATAATTCTGAAACTGGTGTGCTCGCCAATCCCTGTGGATTCTGTTCAAGCCATTGCCCATCCTTTGTCCTCTTAAGACAAAAAAACTTTCATCCTTTTTGAATCACCAAAGCTTCTTCCAAACCTTGCAGATAAGGAGTACATCAATCTGTCAATTTTGTGATTCCAACAGAAAGGGACAAACTTCTAATAACTGAAGTATTTATCAACATGTGAACGATTGTAAACTTTCTCTCTTGGATAATAAGGTTACCCCATTTTCCCTATAGTGTGTTATAAAATTAGCAGATAAGCTAAGCATTTTAACTAATTTTGTAAAGATCTGTAAATAGTACATAAATAAATGCATATTTGTTAAATGATAAATTTGTGGAGTGCACTTCTGGTTGTCTTGATCTGTCTCGAGTCCAAGCATCTACATACATGACCACTTGCATGGGAACGTAATAACTAATGACCATCACAATTTCCGTGTCCATTAAGACTTGATGGTGTCAGTCCTTACATGGCATCAAAGAGGTGCCGACCCTGCGGTCACACTGTCATCAAAAATTGCAATTGAACTTTGGCAACAGCACAGCTCATTAAAATCTATGGACATTTATAAACAGACTAAGAAAAATTCAAAAAACATATGATGTTGGTTATGAAAGAATCATAGCAGGTTTTCAGCATCAGTGTAAACATAGAAGTTACGATAAATATAACCAGAGAATCTTCAGAAAAGTTTCAAATTACAATAGGTAAAACATTACATCAATAGAATATTTGTGTGTCATTGCAATACAATTATAATATGAATTAATCAATTTAAAATAGAAAGTTTGTTTTGAATTTTATGTTTCTTTTTGTTTTAAGGAATGTAACATGTATAAATAGGTTTATTAATTACAAAATTGTTCTTTTAACTTGTTTAACTCATTTTTAAAAAACAACAATTAAATTTACCAGATAAGAGACCAGTGATTTTTTTATAAATAAAACAAAAAAACAATTTGTATTTTGTCTATTGTTCATTTCTTATTTTGTCTCCCAGATATCTGTGCCTGGTTGTCCATTGCCCACTCACAGTCACCCACTTGACAGTGTCTCTATTTATTTGCAGCATACACAAACAAAAGTTCTCAAAAATTAAATTTATTTTTATAAAATATTTATCTTAAAATTTGAGATAATGCATCCCATAATGGATAATTAATTCAATAGCAACTTTTTTGCCATATTTTATGCAAATAAATTAAAATTAAGAAAAATAACAAAAAAACTGTGTGTGTATTGTTTAAGAAATTAGAGTGAATTGAAAGTTTCTACATGTAACATTAAAAAATTAGGAAGATCTCAAATTTCATTCATATATTCCTTTAGTTTCTTCGGTTAACAATTTTGTAAGCTCTCTAAGAACATAATAATATGCATAAAAATTAAAACAACACACAAGATTTAATTGTCATTACCTACAAGGATCCTGTTTTATAGTTGCAAAATAGCATGGCATATAAAGATTACACCATAAAGGGCAATAAATACAATTTAAATGTAACACTACCTTTTCACAATGCAAATTTAACTGCAGATCTTTTGAAACATTATCAGTTACTACTCTTGTCAAAAGTAACTTAAGATTGAATAATGCTAACAGAACACTCTGTAATTTAATAGTTTATTTAATTGAAAAAGTAAAATCAACAGTTTAATACAGCAACAAACAAAAAGTTATAACTGATAAATGAAGTATTAATAGAAAATCATGTGTACAATATTTATATTTTTATTCCTGAATTTTTAATTTATTTGATATCTATTTTTGGGCAATTTAAAATTTTGAATTAAATATTTATTAAAATTCAAAAAATTTATTTTAAAAGCCAATATATAAAATAATTATATTATGTTCTTTTTATTAATAAATTTTTTATACCTTCTGGTTCCTTTTCTTCATGTATAATTTCAGCAAAAGCCTAAAAGAAAACATTATAATTAGTAACTATAAAAACTTTAATTCATTATTGACAATTTTTAATACTAATAATTTCAAAAGTTTTAAAAATCTTGAAATAAAAGGTGGAGTTATAAAGGTCTAGGAGTAAAAATACATTTATTCCGATAAGATGTGAAATAATTTAAAAATAATCATTAAAATTTTCTCTGTTAGGAGCCTCCAATCTGAGTATTAATTTATATTTTTCCACACATTTAGACTTTTAAACAAAAATTTAAAAAAATTTTGTTCTGTTGATTTATTAAAATTTATGTTTAACTATGAGTTCAATCCACAAAATAAAGTTTGTTTTTTTAATTTTCTGCAAAATTCAATAAATTAAAAAGGAGTTGCAACAGATGTTAGTGACTGATTAAGAAAAGAACAGTATTAAAAGAATTTAATTGAATTAAAATTATTATTTAACACTTAAACAAATATTTGAATGTATCAGATTATAGTTTTATAATTGTAATTGTTCTGAAAATAAAATGATTAAAAGAATTTTTTATCTAATGTCCTTAACTTTCAAGACAGTTAAAAAAGCAAGTTCAAATCAAACTCAAATCAATAATACCCCAAAAGTAGAAATCTTAAAATCAGATATCTCTGGAATATAAAGATCTTTTACTTTTCAATCTGTCTTAATATTTCTGTTATTTGTTTTAAGTATTTTTATTTTACCAATGATCCAAGCATATAAAAATGAAACCTTCATCTATAAAATCAACAATCTGACTTACAGACTTGTATATCTTTAGATTACTATCATACTAATATTAGAATGACAATGATTTTATAAATAATAAATAAGTAAAAATTTACTAGGGTTCTTTGAGGTAAATTTGAATAAAATAATGAGTTAATAGAAAATGAAGATAAAAATGTTTCAAAACCTTTTGGAATTTATCAAGTTGAATAATTCAAATAATTATTCATTCACAAACTTTTAATCCAAAATTAACTTGGGTAGCAACAAATTAAAATAAAATCATTTACCTATTTATCCATAAATTTCATTTGAAAATATGTCAGTTTAATATAATTAATTAATCTTACATCTGTGGGAGGTTGACTATCTTGATATGATGGCATCTCTTCTTCTTGTAAAATTTCTAAATTGGGTAAAGTTTCTTCTATCCATAATTCTGCCTCTGATCCTTCTGAAAAATTGTACGTTATGTAGTTCAAATATTATACAAAACTTATCCTATCATTTACTGCTATACAACTATTTGCTACCAATATTGAAATATATATATTGCATTTTTAATACTGAACTGTTCAAGGTTTTGTATATTAATTATTATTCTATGATAAACTGTTTTGTAATTAATGTGTGTAAACAATATTGACTAAGACAAAACCTTTCTCACTTTGTTTCTAGAGTTTCTAGCAAAGTGAGAAAGGTTTTGTCTTAGTCATTTTAAATAGTTCTAGCTCCAAATGTGTAGAAGTATAAACAATATTGCAAAAAAGACTCTTAACAATTAAGTTTTAGCTTTAAAAAAAACACTTAATTCTATAATAGATCAAATATTAAAGTAGATTATAGATTATACAATGGGGAACAAAGCCAAAAGCACTTTGATCTAAAAACATTGTGTGTCCCTAAGAAATTGCTTCAAAAGTCTCATCTTTTTACAACAAAGGATAGAAGATTCTAAAGAAAAGATAGAAGGTATTACCAGAGCTCAAAAAGGAAGACCCAAATGAACAAATCTACATGGATATGGGTCTGCACATTCACAAATATGATGCAGCAATCTCTCCTCAGCAGAGCCACAAAATGACAAAACATTAGGAGGACATTTCAATCCACATAAATATTTACAGGTGACCTAAACTGGTCACAATATCAATCAAAACCCAAACACTGTTTACTCTGTTTTAGTCTTTACTAGAGAAGTGGAAGATACAGTCCAGTCTTTGACAGTCTTAGAAAATGTATTGCAAGAAATACTAAGAGCTGGTTCAGACTCAATAAATAAATAGGATGCTCCCTGTTTGTCCAGTAAATCAGTTCTCTCATATCCTGACACCCACTTAACCTTTTAAATCCTAAGAATCACCATTGAGTTGTAAAATAACTTTTGTAATTTTTAAAAATTCATACTTTTAGACATTTTGTTATTTTGTGATTAATGAAAATCAGAAACATTGAAATTCATTTTGAGTAAAAAGGAGTGAAGAAATTTTTTAGGTAAATGAAGATATTACCTTTAAAAAAAAATTATTACAGTGGAACTTGGTTAACTTGAATTAACTGGGGAAAAAAAAATTCAAACTTTATATTAAAAACTTTCATGTTATGAAGGTTCGGGTAAAAATAAAGATTTTGTACATCAAGTTACTGGTGACCAATAATAAACTATCAATATGACATTTCTGTGGGTGTTATGATGTAGAATCACTTTGTCAATGTAAACATCTCAATGTTATCCAGAAACTTGAAAACACTCAACTGAATGGTTAAATAAGCTACTGAGAAAGACTTTCCCAAATGGTTTATCCATTCACTCCTAAATGTTCAGCAAGAAAATTTTAAAATTGCAAAATTTTGTGCCTAGAATCAATCTATTTTTTATTTTTTATCACAAACATCACTCTTAATGATTGTTATAATCTTGAAATTTTGCCACAAAGGTTAAAAGTTTTATGTAGAATCAAACTGTAATTGTTTTTTTTTAATTAATTTATCAAAAATCCATTTATTTATTACATCAGCTAGTTGGAGAAATCCACTGGCAATAAAAAAAAAGGTTTGAATGGCAGGTACAGTATCTAGATCATACATGCTGTCTGGAGTCCCCACTCCTCCCACCGTCAATGACAATGTTTATTTTTAGTCATATGCAGTTTCCATGCTTTAGAGAAAGTTTTCAATTAGTTTACTTGATAAATAAATGTTAATTACGAGGGCAGGCTGAAAAGTAATGCACACATGCTTGTAGAGCACAAACGAAATGATTTTCAGAAGCATGCCAGGTGGCATATGGAAGTAACATTCCCCCTCTATGTGCATGCACAGTTTGAGGTTGTTGCATTCATTCATTCAGTATATTTTGAGAAGCAGAAATATGGAGACATGTTCTGGAGCTATGTCAATGCGAGTTAAACAGCGTGCTGTTATCGAATTTTTAACTGCTGAAAAAATCACGTTTAAAGGCTGTTTATGGTGATGATGCTGTTGATAGGTCTATTGTAAATTAATGGATAATAAAATTTCATGGTTGCGAGACTGGAAAAGTCATAATTGTTGATGAAACACGCAGTGGAAGTCCGATCACTGCCACAGATAATTACCGTTGCACCTTGTTGCAATGTTTAATTCTTCTCAGTACATACAGACTCAAACACCTCTGACGTTGAGTTTGGCATGTTAGAGGCAGCCTGGCACCAATAATCTGGCAACATGACAACGCTCGTCCACACACCTCGCGCTCAACAGGAGAGGCTCTACGAAACCTGACGTTTGAATCGATTCCACACCCTCCTTATTCCCATGATCTTGTGCCTTGTGATTTTTATTTGTTTCCTCTACTTAAGAGAGACCTCAAGGGTAATCATTACACCTCAGACAATGAGGTGAAGGCTGCTGTCAAGTCCTGAATTCAAGAAAAGTCAGAAGAATTTTTCAGTGATGGAATGAAAGAACTTGTTACACATTGGGAGAAATGTGTTAGTCATCAAGGCTATGTTGAAAAATAAATTTATGATTTTGAAGCTTAAGAATTGTACTTTAGTGTACTTTTTGCCCGTTCTTGCTATTTGTTTTTGTTCGTGTTCTACAAGCATGTGTGCATTACTTTTCAGCCTGCCTCATATTTTATTTAACAGAAAATTAAAATTCTGAGGAGTTATGAAAATACATTCAAGTTAAACAATTCAACAAATTTGAGTTATCCAGTTTGATTTAACACGTAGATCCCTATTCCAGACAACCAGGAAAAGAAAATGACTTCAAGTAAACGTGACTTCAAGTTATCTTGATTCAAGTTAACCAGGTTCCACTGTATTTCTAGTTTTCAACTCTTAAATTAAAAATTAATTGAAAATTTACCTTTAACTTCTTCTGCCTTCAAATCTTCAATAAAAGAAATTGGCAGTTCTTCAGTATGTAATTCACTATGACTAGTGTCTGAATCAGATATTATACCAATAGACCCTTAATATAAAAATTTTGATTATCAATTTTTTAAATCTATTTGCTTAGTTAGTTACTTAAAATTAAATATATTTATTAAAATTAAAAGAATTTTTCAATAAGTAATTTTTAATACAGTATAAACCTTATCACATCTAATTTGGTTTTGCTCTATTTAAGTTATCCTGTTTAAAATATTATTACAAAAAAGTCATTTCATCAGGTTATATCTTGCTTCTGCTATGTATCAGCTAAATATAAGCGCATTAGAATATTAGTATTGGTAATGAGCTATTTGAAGACATAGTCACCATCAAATAGCCTAATATCAAAATTATTATTTCCTGAAATAGTGAAGAAATAAAAATGACTTCTATCGGTTACCAAGAATCTACTCTGTTCAGAAAACTTATAAAATCATCAGTAAGTTACTTTACTTTTACAAAAATTAAGTACAAATACAACAGACTATATTGGTTAATATACTATAATGTAGTATTGGTTCTGTCAACAGATCATTATAAACTGAATGTATAAGGTCTGTTTTATGAGTGAATTTATCACTTAAAATTAATTGTTTAATAACTGATAATATGAACTTGGAAAAATTAAAAAATATTTTCTATGGATGAACTGTAAAAGTGTCCTCCTTTTTTGAGTCCCTTTGTACAGCAGTAGGAAATAACAATTTTACAGTGGAGTCAACCTTTATTTAGAGGTTTCTCCCCTGCCTCAGCATGAAAAAAAATTACAATGTACCCTATGGTGGTGGCACAAACACTTATAAAAATTATACATTTAATAAAATTTATTGCTGGGACAATAAGAATGAACTTCAAAGAACATTTCACTTGCTGAAGCATGGCAGAAGCCTCCAAATAAAAGTCAACTCCACCATAAAATCGTTATTTCCTACTGGTGTACAAAGAGACTAAAAAACTTTTAAAGTCTAGGGTACATTATAAGGTACATTGTAATGTTTTGCATGCTGAGGCAGGGGAGAAGCCTATAAGTACGAACTTGAAAAATTACAAAAATACTTCCTATGGATAACCATAGGAAGTATTTTTGTAATTTTTCAAGTTCGTACTTATTGTCCTGGGAATAAATTTTATTAAAAGTGATAACATATAGACAAAATACTAGCATATGGCTTTATGACCATATAAAACAAAACAATTGGGCATTTTGTAAAACATATCTCACAATACTTAAATTCTTCTATTTGTAGCACTTTAACAAAGCACCATATATGAATGAAAAAGAATTACACAAAATAAATAAGAGAAGCCAGCATTTCAGCAAAGTTTCAATAGCTGTTGTGTATATACAGTAGAGCGTCGATTTTCCGAATCAATTGGGACTGGGGTTGTCCGGATAACTGATATTTCGGATAACTCATTTACGTCTGAAAAAATAGTTTAACGTATCCGATGTC